AGAAAACAGCAGGAGAAATTAGGGGAATCACCTCTCTATAAATAGGGAAAGTGCCGCACAAATCCCTAATCCATGAGCAACACGTGGCATTGGGTGGTTACGATTAATTTGGGGCATTTATGATTCATTTTTTGTGCACGTACCCCGGACGGGCTTACAGAGGATTAGCAAAGATCACAGGGGCTTGCTGTTTAGAAAAATGCTAAGTCCTAAATGTCAACCTGAAGCCCGACCGGCCAACAGTATTGTAAAAAGGTAATCTGGAAGGAAACAGCTAAGTCCTAAAAGTTGGTTTGAAGCCCGACCGGCTATCAATGTTATGAAGGAGCCTAGGTGCAAAGAAAACCAAGAAAACTGCTAAGTCCTAAAAGTTGATCTGAAGCCCGACCGGCTATCAACGTCATAAAAGATATCCTAAGGATTGAACTGAAGCCCGACCGGCTATCAAGTTGTAAGAGATTATCTGAAGCAAGAATGTGCCAAGTCCTAAAATTTGGTATGAAGCCCGAACGGCTGAGTACCAGGGGGAAGGGGTTTTTTCCTTAAATAAATTATCAGAACTTTCTAATGCCCGAACGGCGATCAACGACATTAAGAATATTTGAGCAAGAAATAAGTTAGGAAATTGCTAAGTCCTACAAAACAGGCCGAATCCCGAATGACGAGTAAATCATGCATTAAAGACAGAAAAGACAGTACAGAAAGTTTCAGGCAAAAGAGGGATATATATTCATCGGTTCTACTGACCGGGAAGTACAAGCTATTTAGAGAAAAAGAAAATTACAACAAGTAATGAAAAAGTACATATGAATTATTGACTGGGGGCCATGTCATCTCCCTCTTCATCCTCATCCTCATCATCATCAGACGGGGGTTCAGGCTCTTTTCCCGCAGCTCGATCAGCTTCCCGTTGCTGGGCTCGCAGAAATTTCTCGAACTGCGCCTGGATAATGTCATCTGTGGGGAGATCAGAAGCCTGAACCGGCCTCCCCAGTTGATTTTGATGCTGAGTGACGAAGGGACGCAGCAAGACCTGGCCAATTTTGCCATAAAGATCGGAGACAATGGAGTCGTTCCATTTTTTGGCCTCCGGGTCCTTATCCAAGAGGGCCACCCCTGCCGATAGCCGACCGGCGCCTTTGGGGAAACCCTTCAAGTACGCCCCAAAGGCGAACAGGATTTGGGCCCTTGCATGTTCATCCTTGATGATGGAGAATTCATCAGAGGATTTAAACATGTCCCGGACGGCGGACAGATCCACGTTCACTTCATAGGGACCGTCCGGGATGCTGGATGGCATTTCTTCGAATTTGACCCGTGCGGCCTCAGCGGCAAGGACCTTCGCCTGGGAAGCTGCGAGTTGGACCCGAAGGGTACCGAGTTCAGCATCCAGCCTCTGCTTTTCCTCCGCAAAGGCTTTCCGTTCGGCCTCCAGAGAGGCGATGGCAGCAGCAGCATGTTGCTGAGCAGAAGACTGGGCAACAATCAGTTCCCGCTCCTTGGCCAGGCGGGCCTCCCGCATCTGAAGGGTGTACAAGCCCATCTACAGAATACCGTTCGAGAGTTAGTACTGATTACAGAGAATAAAATAAAGACAAAGCACAAAAGACAATATACCTTCAGAGCAGTCAGAGCCAGACATTCTTCATATTGCTCGACCGGCAACTGAGGAAGGGAAAAGTTGTTGAACCAAGAGGAGGTAGACCAGATCTGGCTCGCGGTAGAGCCGTCCCTCTCTAATACCTCATGGACAGGGTCGGATAGGGAGATCCGCTCGACCTGACCCGTAATATGGTCGGTGTGAGTCTCACCAGCATTCGAGGGTTCCCCCCGAACGGAGTCGAAATGCTGGGAAAATTGGTGCAGTTGATCAGAGCCGAACCGCTCGTCGATCAGCATGGCCTCTAATTGGTCCTGGTGGATCTGCTGTATTGGCTGAGGCTCTGGAAGCGGTTCAGAAGGGGCAGCCTCCTGAGTGGGAATAATGGAGGGAGTAGGTTGTGGATTCTTCCTGGATTTCTTCCGTTTTCCGGCCCCACCGGCTGCGATGACTCTGCTATCATCCATAGGAAGATCTGGGTTTGGTGCTGAAAAAAGACAAAGAACAATGTTAGTATCGAGCGGCCCTAGCGTGTGAGAAACTAGAAAAAAGAATAAAAGAACGTTTCTCGCACGGGAAGGACCGCCCGGACCAAGGCACTTGGTTTATCAAAACAAGTAAACCCAAGAGAACGGGCAGTACCTATCCCGGCTGTTATAAGTCGTTCGGGGGTCAGATAATTCATGATGTCCATGCATTTATCCTTCTCCACGGCAAGCACGTCCTTGTAGATTTCTTCAGTGAGGACAGGATCAGGGGTTTTGCGGGGAAAGGCATTCCATTTGCGGGGAATCAGACCGTCCGGGATGGACACGAAGAAAAACCGGTCTTTCCACCCTTTGATCGAAGTTGGGTTTCCTTTGAACAGGATGGGTTTGTTGGGGGGCTACTTTGAAAAATTGGTGGAAGAGTTCTAGGGTTGGTCGGGCGCCGGCATCTTTGCAACGACAAATGAAACCCGCCATTGCTCGATAAGAGTTCGGCATAATCTGGGCCGGTACAACTTCGTAGAAATTGAAGAAAGAAATGAAAAAGGGATGTAGCGGAAATCTAAGGCTGGCCCTAATTGAGTCAAAGTGGACTATGGTCATTCCGGGCCTATGACGCATTGGGTGAAGCCCGGCTTGCAAACGGAAATCCACCGGGTCAGGGATAAGGGCCGGAATTTCGGCCCTATTGTGAGAGGTCAATTTTTGCCTCCTCTCCCTAATCAATTTTAGGTCAAGAGTATGGCGAGGAACATCGTTGGGACGTCCGGCCGCCATGGAGGCTATTTCGTCCTCGGATTTGGTGTCATCGGAATCCTCACTGGAGGAAGAAGAAGTGCTAGGGAGGTCCTCCGCCTCAGCCCTGGTATTCGTCGCCGTCTCAGTAGAAACACCGGCAAACGGAACTGGGATGGCATATACAATGGCGGTGTCACGGTCATCTCCATGAGAGGCCATCTCCGAATCAGAGGAATGCTCTTTGGGGCTCATCTCGATCGAAGCCGGAAATGAAGACAGGGAATCCAAAGTTGGGAAATTACCTGAGCAAAGGAAGCAGGGGGAAATTTGCAGAGGAAGCAACGAAGGCCAAGGAATTGCAGAGTCGAAACCCGGAATTGAGAAGTTAAGGGCTAATTTATAGCCTTGAAACCGCCGTGTCGAGAACCAATCAGAGAGCGACACATCACTAGGAGCATTTAAGCTAAACACGCGTCTAATGAAAAGACTAAACGACGGTTATCATGATGAATATGGGGAAATGAAGCGGCAGCCGTCAAATCGCAGCATGGGGAACTGATTATTTCTGTACCCCGATCGCCATTTGGGGTATTATGACATTGGTATACTTCCTAATGCACTCACTTCGTTCGAGACATCGGAAGTGGGGGACTTGTGTTGGGATATTGACCTAGAGGCCCAATACCCAGATCGGGAAGGCCCAAGATATCCGGCCCAAGTAACAGGCCCATCACTCTATGATGAAAAAAATCCAGTAAGGAGACATACCGAACGGAGTTCGGACTAAATAAAGATTTGCCCAGTAAGAAGATATACCGAACGAGGTTCGGGCTATATATCATACTTGGGCCAATTTGACAGCATCTTCAGTGCAGCCCAACATCCCGTTCGAGCAACGGCCAACTAGCAAGTGGCTAGGTGCAATTAATGCCAGACTATGACATCAGCAAGTGGAAGCATGGATGACCAAGTCGGTGGAACAACGGCCAATCAGCAAGAGGCAGCCCATGCTCTTCATTAGTATAAATAGAAGGTCTCAAGTCATTGTAAGGGTTAGCATTTCAATACTCAAGCTCTAGAATAGCATCATTTGCTCTTATTTCTTGTATTAAAGCATAGTTTCCGACTTACCGATCGGGAAATTCCTTGTAATCAGATTGATTAATTAATACAAGTGGGCTTTCGAGTTTTAGTTATTTCAGATCTTATATTTTCTTATACGCTTTGATTCTGGGCCATTCCTGATATACCCAAAGTTCGTGTTGGGCTTTCGGGTCTACGGGACTTACCCTCAACATACCTAAACAAAAGCAACCTAAATCAGCAAAACAATTTCGCAGTAGTACAGAACTATAAATAATGAATTATCGATTAAGTAATGAATGAACTATCGATTAAGTAGAAGCATAGATGAGATAAAGGATGGAGTGAAACACCAATTTAATTACGAGTTTGTGTTCTCAAATACGTAAATCAAAGCAACGAAAATATGGAAAACAGTTCAAAAAACATGCAGACGTAAATTGATCGACGATTGAAGAAGAGTATTGAAACTTAGTAGAAATTAAGATCAACTCACAACAGAAGCTTGAAGAAGAACGGAAGCTTGAAGAAGAATGGAAGATTGAAGAAGAACGGGAGCCTGAAGGATTCTCAAAATCGGAACGAAACGTTGGATCATGTGCGGATGTCGTGTAGCTGATGATGAATGGAAGATTGAAAACGGAAATAACAGAGCAACAAAAGACGGCGCAGCTAAGGGGCGCATATAAACAGGGGCAGTTTAGGAATCCGTAACAAACTACTCATATTTAGAGAATAATTTAAAGAGGACTCCTATTTAAGAAGTTTCCTATTAATTTAGTCCTATTTAAGGCAAATACTTTTTTGGTTTTCTTCACAGAAAGACGAGTCTCCACTTAATGTCTTAATCTACGTGGCTCCGACAAGCCTACATGGCAAGATAATTTGAAGGAACAAAACCACTTGAAGGAATCCAATGGTTCATATCATCAGGATGCGCATGTCGTAACGAGGGTTGCCCGTGACTCTTCGCGTTCTTGCAGCCGCATCCACACGTGTGACGCCACGTAGGTATTTGCCAATCATAAACGCCCACGCGGCATCGTCATCATCGTCTATATATACGAAGTATACAGCCCAGTCCCATTTTTGCGCCAAAGAGATTGCCAAGGATCCGATCTCTGTTAAATATATGGATGCTTACGCTACATCGGCGGCGTGTTGCCGGAGGCAAGTTACACCGCCGCTCGCCTCTAGCCGGCACAAGATCCTCTCGTCTGTGAGGCGCTGCAACATCAGGGTCTCTGGGTTCGAAGACGAGAGCCACTTGGGTTACTATTCCTCCCGTGGCCGGGGTATCAGATCTGGGGCCGTCAAAAAGGAGGACAAGAATTTCTCCACAGACTTGTCTTCGATTGGATTCGGGCTGGACTTTGCAGAATCACTCGATCTGCTCCACCACCAACAACAAACTACGATTTCGGTACGTAATTTCGATTTAGCTCTGAAACCTAAAATTGAGAAACCCTCCAAAAGCGCACACCACAGTGCTCAGTAATAAAAAAGAGTAATAAATTTCAATTGTTAATATTCAATCACATAGTTTAAAAAAATCAGGTAGTATTCGTTTTATTTTACACGAAAAAACAAAAGCTAAATTGCACCACCCTGCCGGCCTCCGGCCCGGCTAGAATAATAATAATAAATATCTATGACAATTTTTGTTATAGTATGTTGAAATACTACAAAAGTACCTCCAAAAATAGAAGAAATTCCACTTATGGTCCTTCCAGTTTTGCACCAATTCCACAATTCGTCCCGTCTTTCAGTTTATCCATTTTTGGACCATATATAGTCCTTTTCCGATAGTAAAAATGCTAAAAAATGGACCACAAATGGTCAAGAAAACAATAGTCAGGTACAAAAAATGGATAAAGTCAAGGACGAGGACTAAATATGGAAATGACACAAAACTAAAAGGACCTAAAGTGGAATTAATTCTCCAAAAATATCACGTCATTTGTTTTTTGCCAGTGTAATTTTTTATGGCAATGGCATATGAGATTAAAATCTCTCATAAACATGGTAATCTGATTGCACTTTTTCAGTCTTTTAGTTTAAGGAACTGATCAAACGCATCTGAATTAAAAAATAGTGTTCTAGTAATCCCTTAAACATTTTTATGGGGAATGTGCTTCAGAGTTTTCAAGAAAATTGATCACCTTTGTCTATATTATAAATAGGACTGGGATAAGTATAAGTTATGAAAAAGTTGTGATCAAATTTAAGGAAGTTTGATTTGAAAAAGGTACTGTCACTAGCCGCAATAGCCTTCTTTCATTATTTGGGGACATTAGGCCATCCCACTACGTATAAAGGATTCAAAACAAAAGGCATGTTCCCTGCGGAATTAAACTCAGTACCAATGCCAGTGCAACCAATCCAACTTAGACTCAATAATGTGATTGATTAGTCAATGTTTTAAAATTATAATTATTTGGTTTGTTGAATTTCTGGCAGGGAGGTGCAGAAACATTGCTCTCCCATCTCAAAAAACTAAAAGCAAAGGGTAAAGAAAAAGAAAGGTGTGGACAGTATGATTCATCAAGCTCTTCATCATCGTCATCATCTGAATCAAGCGATAGTGAGTGCGAGGGTATAGGCAACATGAACAGAAGAAGGAAGTGCGACAATGCAATCGTCCAACGCTTTACTACTCCTGAGTCCAAACCTGTTGTGGTTCTAGATTCACAGCAGCCAATGTTGCTTCCTGTTTCGATCCACCCTCTCTCCAATCCTATCAATGATGAATGCCCGAGTTGTTCTGAAATGGGAAGTCGGACCATGAAGAAATTTGAGGTATGCATGGGTGGAAAGTGCAAGAAATCAGGGGCGCAGGCTATACTGGAGGAACTTCAAGATGCAGTTGTAGGGGTACCAGACGTGGCAGTTTGTGGATGCAAGTGCATGGGGAAATGTAAAGTTGGGCCCAATGTGAGGCTTTCGAGCACCGCCATTGACCATGACTTGTTGCATGACAACAATAATAATAATGGCAACCTAGTGAGGTCTGTGTATCAAAGTGTTGGTATCCATGATGTGAGTTTGATGGCTTCCGATTTCTTGGAGAGAAAGGGTGAGGGTCAAGGCCTTGCTGTTGCATCTTGATTTTTATTTGCTCGTTAGGTTTCATCCTCCCTACTGTGGTGTATCAATGTATCATACTATCATATACAGTTTATTTTATAGTGTGTAAGGTTGCATCTGTAAGTTTTTGTATATCCATGGAACAATGTTCTTCTTGAGGTGTTTCTTTATGCCAACCTCTTGGACAGAAACTTTCTTGGACTCTTTCCTTGACAAGTTCAGATTCTCTGGCATTCTCTTAGTTCATCTTCCCTCATATATACTTGCTTTTTTCTTAATACTGTCAATAAACAAGGTTCTATTTTGATGTTTGCAGACTTGCAAGTCTTGCCTTGGTATTTTTTTGGATTTTTTCCTTGACAAGTTCAGATTCTCTGGCATTCTCTTAGTTTGTCTTGTATTTTTTTTTTTGGATAAAATGTAAATGTATATATATCCAGAAAATAGCATTTGTACAATGCATCACAAAAAACAAAAAAACTATCTAAATCAGCACGCTAACCTAAAATAGTATCTACCGTATCTCCCTCCACCCCACACTACGGTAGGGGTAGGGGGGAGAGAAATACTTTTTCATAGCCCGAAGGCATCACAAAAAACACAATCCAAGAATGGCACGGGACAGGCCCCGATTCATTCATCAAAAGTCCAAAAATAAATTCCCAGCAGTCCAGGCCCAATGAAAACCCTTCTGCATCCAAAATAACAAAACAGCAAAAACCTCTCCAGCCCATAATAAGGCCATCCGTGCAGCAGTCGAGCAAGAACAGTCCAGCCCATAATTAAGCCCATCCTTGTAGCAGCAGCAACCCGGTCAAAACAATTAGGGCGACAGCCCAAAGTGTATCGCTTCCCCCCTTGCGCCGTTTTGGATTTCAGAATTCAAAATTCAAACCCTTCGGTCAAACTGGCAGACTGACCAATCATGGTCAACTGTCAGCCCAACCCCTCCCCCCCTACCACCCCGTGGTACCGGTTCCACCGGCGAGTGCTGTGACTGGAGAAAGAAGAGGCCGTATCCCAACCGGAAGTCACCCCTGCAGAATCGAGCTCCTCCATCCACCACCCACCCCCGTCGAGCTCCGGCGACCCCCGGCGGCATCGATGGGATGATGAAACGGTGGCGATTTCCACAGTAGCCGGACCAAGTAGCTCAGGCAGTTCCGATTCCCGGCGAGGCGGTCATCGTCTCCGGCGAAACCTGAAACTTTCAAGAAGAAATTATCCAACCAACAAATCATAACCGGAAAACTCAGACCGGTGTTCCTGTATTCGCTCAGTCCCTCCGATCATCTTTACCAGCAATCTAAGCAGTCCAACAAGCAGAAAAGAGCCCACAAACGAACCAAAACGTAAGGGATAACCTCAGCAAGGAAACAAAGAAAGAAGAGCTGAGTCTAAAATCCGTAACTGCGAACACCGGAGTATTCACAAGTCTGGACACCAAAGTTCCGGCCACCGGTGTCTACGACTCCAGCCTCAAAACCTTGGCCAAGCAGAGAGACTGTACCGCGTAGTGAAAAATGAAGGCGCCATTAAACCTGCACTGATAACCCCCTCACCCCGTGCTGCCACAAAAGCCTGCCCCCACCCAGAAAAGAAGAAAAAACCTACCGGAGGACATGGCAGCTCCGAACTCCGGCAGGTCCCGAATCAATCTTAGGCAAACCTGAAAGCGACCACTGGCGTGCCCTCCACCAGTGCATCAACCCACCCGGATACCTCAACCACTATCGGCGCCGTGTCCAAGGACAGAGAAGCTGCGACGCCGGAAACCTTCGTCCCGGTTGTAGAAAGAAACGGGAAAGCATGTGGGCGTACCTCGTTGGCCTTCAGATGGTTAGCAAACCAGCAAAGCTAGACCCCAGACAAATCTTCTCCGACCAGCTGTGTAACCCCCTAGATCTTCTCCGACCAAAGCCTACGACCGGCAGTTGGACCACTTTGACCATGGACAGCCTTAAGAAATCCATCACAACCCACGAACCACAAACCACCGGCGAACCATTTTCCAAAAATTCAACAGACCAAACAACCTTGAAGCCCACCGGAGCCAGAAGGGCTCCGGCAGCGGCAGCCGCCGCGAGTGGCGGCGCCGGAGATAGTAGAGCACCTAGAAGATTTCTAGTGAGAGAAACAGCTCTCAACTCTCACTACTCACTTCAGGCGCAGATCTTAGTGTTGGCGTGGTTTGTCTTGTATTGCCTTGCGTTGGGTTGTCTTGCGTTGTCATATGTATATCATCAGAGAAGTAGTGTTTTCGAAAAATTCGTTCCCCTTGAAGATGTTCATTTAGAAAGCTTGTAGAGAATGTATGTTATATGTTCCATCATTTCTTTTTTAGATATTAAGACAGGTACAATTATTATGGGGTGTTTGGAACTGATTCTAATTCTGCTTCTTTTTTAAAGCAGAAGCAGAATCAGAATCAGTTTTCAGAAGCTGGTACCCCCCAGCTTCTAAAAAAACTGATTCTGAGAGTAAATTAGAGCACCAGAAGTGCTTCTGGAATTTCACCCAAACACTCCAGCTTCTGCTTCTGCTCTCTGAAGGAGCAGAATCAGTTTTGAGAATCAGATCCAAACACCCCAATTAAATTGTCATTCAGCCCATATTAAATTGTCACCTATTAAATTGTCACCTCAATTGTACTACCTTTGTCCCTTGAAACTTTGCCAAAGTTGACCGGCATGGAGAATAATAAAAACTGTGTGGTTTAGGTTTGTGCAGAGGAGAGAGAAATAACAGAAACCACAAAATAATTGATTAAAAGGGAAAGTGACAAAGTTTTAAGGGATGTATTAGAGTTGGATTCAGGCCGGGCCGCCGGTTTTGAATAGATGGGCCTGGGACCGGCCCGGGTCCGGTCCAGGTCCGGGCCGGGTCGGGCCTATTATCAATTTTTTCCCTCTTCCTAAGTAACCCCCTCCCACCTCCAACCCCCCTCCCACCCCAAATTGCCCAAAATATCTAGCCCAACCTGAAAATTTAAAAAAACATTGAAAAAAAAACAATTTTGGCCCGAACCGGGTCCGGGCCGGGCCTTGTTTTGGGTGACCCGAGCCCGTACCGGAAAACCCACGGGTCGAGCCTATCCAGACCGGTCACTGACCGGGGCACCGGGTCGGGCCGGGCCGGAACAGTACCGGTCCCGGGCCGGTTCCGGGTCGGGCCACCCGACCCGAGTCCACCACTAGGACGGATGAAGTATATATTAACAATTGTATATATTAACAATTTTATATTACTCCATTCCATTCCAATTTATTGTTCCCTTTGTCTCATATTTAACTTCTTACTTATCCTTTTGGGATGTCTTGTAATAATGTTCACGTTCCTATTTTTGGAAACTTTTATATATAATAATTTAATATCTCTCATCATAGACTACCTATTTGCCCATTTTACCCCATATTGGCATATCCCTCTCTAATATGTTGCTTATCTCACAACCTAACCTAGGGATGGAGTGGGACGGGTCAACCTGACCCGGGCCCAGTTGACCGGGAATGACCCGATACTCGGACCGGGGTATCTCAGGACGGGACGGGACTCGGGATGAGAATATGGTGGACCAACCCGCCCGGTCCGGGCGTTACGGTTGAAAATTAAAAAAAATGCTTAATTCCAATTGGTTAGCTCCAAGGTGTTGCCAACGGCTATAGAGCCGTTAGGGGGTGGAATTGGGCGGTTTGGGGGGTTGGGAGTAAAAAAACAACTATAAATACACTTATTTTCTAAACATTTTTCTACACGTATTCTCCAATTCTTCCTACTCTCTGACCATCTTCCCCAATTCTCTCTACACATGTTGGGGTTAAGTGCCGCAGATCCGAAAGCCCAACACGAATTTTGGATATTTCAGGAAATGGTCACGAATTCAGTGTATAAGAAAATATAAAAGATTGGATAATATAACACTCAAAAGCCCACTTGTATTAGATAATTCGCTGATTACATAAGAACTTCCTGAACAGTATGTCGAAATAGTGATTAATACAAGTACAAGAGTAATTAAGCTATTCTAGGCTTTGAGTTTCAAAGATCTAACCCTTTACAATGAAATTAATCCTTCTATTTATACTAATGTGGGGTATGGGGTGCTTCATGCTGATTGGTTGGTAATCCAGCCACTTGAAAGCCCATATTCCCACTTGTTGCCGCCATCATCTAGTAATAAATGCTTCCTGTCACTTGCTGGCTGCCCGTTGCCCGAACGGGTAATGGACCCTGCTGGAATTATCATTGATCTGGCCCAAGTACATTGGTTGACCCGAACCCCGTTCGGTACATATTTCTCCCTGAGCCTGTTCTTCTGGATTCTGGGCCCCTTTATGGGACTGGATATATTGGGCCTTTGATCTGGGTATTGGGCATTCGGCCCAATATCCCAACACGAGTCCCCCACTTCCGATGTCTCGAACGGTAGTGAGTGCATTGGGAAGTAGAACTTATACGCCGAATGGCGATCGGGTCCCAGAATTCGCTGGTTCCCCATTCCATAATTTGTACCTTATTTGCGGTTGTCGTTTGATTTTTTTCATAATCGTCATGATTATTGGCCCTTGATCTCCTATGCGACACATGCCCTTCCAAATAGTCCAGGTGACGTGTCTTCTTCTGATTGGTCATCGATTCGGCGCCTGTCAGGCTATAAATAGGCCTTGAATTCCTTGGATATAGGTTTCACATTCTCATTTCCTTCGAGCCTTTGTTCTGCCTTCTCTCCAAATCCTTCAAGATTTTTCGTGCTCAGGTATTCCCCGTTCTTTAACTTTTTTCCTCCACTCCTTTTGCCTCGATCGATATGTATCCTCGATCCTGCTCCTCTGATTCGGGAATGTCTTCCCAAGAGGAATATCAGAATGCCGCTGTAGTGGACGTCATACCCGTCCCTTTTGCTGAAGGCACACATGAGGCGGTGGAAGATAATAGGGCGGAGGCGGAGGATTCTTCCGCCGGTTCTTCTTCTTCCGATGATGATTCCGACGATACGAAGTCTGGTGATGAACTTGCTTCCATGGCGGCTGGACCCCCGGGCGATGTTCCTCGTTACAAAATTGACCTAAGGCTGATTAGGGAAAGGCGGCAGAAGCTAACTTCTCACAATAGAGCCCAAATTCCGACCCTAATTCCAGACCCAGTGAATTTCCGTTTGCGAGCTGGGCTTCACCCAATGCGCCACCTTCCTGGGATGGTCGTAGTTCACCTAGATTCGGTTAAAGCTGGGCTTAGATTTCCATTGCACCCTTTTCTATTTCTTTTTTAAATTTCTATGAAATCGTACCAGCCCAATTCATGCCGAACTCCTATCGGGTGATGGCTGGCTTTATTCGCCGTTGTGTAGATGTTAAGGTTACACCCAATTTAGATTTATTCCACCAATTTTTTAAAGTAGCCCCCCAGCAGACCCATGGCTACTTAGCCGCAACTGCCCGAACGGGTCCTATACTTTTTAAGGGAAATCTAACCTCAATCAAGGAGTGGAAAGATCGGTTCTTCTTCGTTTCCATCCCGGACGGTATGATTCCAAACAAGTGGAATGCCTTTCCACGTAAATCACCGGATCTGATTCTTACTGAGATGATTTGTAAGGACGTTTTTGCAGTGGAGGAAGGCAAAACCTGCAACATTCTAGCATATCTGACCCCCGATCAACTTATCAAGGCCGAGATAGGTACTGCCCGCACTCTTGGGTCTAC